AGCCGCGCGATAATATTACACCTCGTTTAGGCGTTTACTACTGATTTTTCTCAATTTTTATCGGAGTAGAACGGGCGCGGGGTGAATATGTTTTGTGGTAAAATGGTAAACTTTCTAAGAGGTTTTTTCGTTATTGTCTATTTATCTGTTTGATAACGTCTGTAAACGGATGATTGTTCCGTTTTATTGATCGAAATCTTTATGTTTCAAGTTTTGAACTGAAATACATTCAATATTGGGAATCATCGGGATTGACCAGAAAGCGATTTGAACGCAAAACGTTCTAAAACGACTTTAACGGTATTTTGAAAATTGGAAGGCTCGTGACTCTAGCTAAAATCTAGGTTAAAATTTAACGTTAAGCTGCTATTTTCAGCTGGTATTCTGTGAGAGAGTGATCCTACCCTGGTCGAACCGGCCCATTAGTGCGATAACCATAGTATAGTTGCAACGTGGCTCTACCACGTAAATGTACTTGGTATTTGTGATAGTTGAGTATTGCCAGCAACGCTGACAGGAATTTGCATTTAGAAATACCCAAAATTAGGGGCTTTTAAGGTGCTAATTAGGTGCCAAGTTTAAAAATTAGGTGCTCTAAAAATTTCACCGCAACGAACTGTTGAAATTTGCGTTGCTAGCGATACGTTTTGCTATACGATATGACGATAATAGATATACGATAAATATTAATAGCAAGGAATTAAGTATTAATAAGGTGCTGCAAGTATGGTAAATGACAAAGCGACCCTAATGAAATTTTAACAGTGGTAGAGCCAGGCGGCAGCTTTTGCTGTCGCACGGATGGGCCGGCTCGAACCGGGGTAGTACCACGACCTCACAGAATACCAGCGTGAAGTAGAGGTTTACCTCTGCGTTTCGCTTGGTGAGTGCAGGTGGCTGGAGGCCCTTTTTACTGGAAATGAGGCATTCCATCCTAGTCCTCACGGGTGACAACGCATCTATATTTTGATTCGCAAACGAGGATAGATGTACGGTACTAATCGGTCGGATCGACCGGGGAAGGATCACGCTCTCACAGAATACCAGCGTAAAATAGCAGCTTAATGATGCTGTTTTTCGTATGGTGAGTGTAGAGAACCGGAGACCTGTTTTACTAGAAAAGAGGCATTCTATCTTAGTCCTCACGGCTGACAACGCATCTGCATTTTAATTCGCAAGCGATGATAGATGTAGATGTCTATGGGCCACATCAACCACTTACCATCAGGTGGACTGTGTGCTCGTTTGTCACCCTATCCTATAAAAAAAAAGAAAATAAAGTCGTTATTCAGAACAAAGTGGATGCAAAAATCACGTCTTCTTCTAAAAATGGTAAAACTATAGACATCCGGTACTTGCGTACGGGGGTGAATGGGTGTTGGGAGGGAATTGGGAGGAGGGGTAGGGTTCTGAGGAAGCCCCCTACCCTTCCCCTCTTGCCGAAATGTACAGTTTAGGAGTAATAACTTCTTTTTGTAATATCATAACCTCGCTTTTTTACACAGGAATATTGACTACTTCTAAAACGGCTTCACCACTGCGGGGCAGTCCCTTTGCCCTTGCGTAGCAAATCACAAGCACGCATGCTGATCTCCATAGCTTGTTAACCATGGGAGAAAATCATAAATTATATAGCTCAAAATTTGTTTTAAAAATATTTGTTAATAAGTAGAAATATACAATTAAAACTTAGGAAGAATACAAATGAAACAAATATACTTATAAATGCGCAAAACCACGTGTGTATACGAGCTATGTAATATGAAATAATATAGTAAATACTCTCTTTAATATTTCTCATTCAATTTGATTTTATTGAATTAATTAATTAGAATTAGAATCTTATACGTGGTAGAGCCACGCTGCAGCTATATTATTTGCAGCACGAAATGGTCGACTTGACTGGGAACAACTTTAGTCTGCTGTGTTTCGTATGGTGAGTGTAGAGAACCGGAGACCCTCTTTACTGGAAACGAGACATAATTGGTCCTCAGGGGTGACAGCGCATCTGCATTTTGATTCTTAATCGAGTATAAATGTATTGTCTATGGGCCACAGCATCCACTTACCATCAGGTGGACTGTGTGCTCGATTGTCACGCTTATTCGGATCGCCGTTCAATGTTGCATCAATTTCTAATTAAGACACTTATTTAAAATAATTGTATTCTAAAATGTGCAGATTGTGCACCTTGCCTGAAGTATTGAAATAATAATTATTCATTTAAGGTAATTAATAATTACACATCATCTAAATTTTGTTGTAGATTGTTAACGCTTACCGAACCACCTTCATCCTATAGTGGACAGCAACGGTTCGCAGGTAATCAATCAATCTTTTTATACATGTACGATCTCAGTTTGAGCTTGGAATACTGAACTTCATAAAATATTTTTGACTTTGTCTTTGTCAACACAACTAGATCCGAGCCAATAAGTTGTTATCTTGGATTAATGCTACATTTAGCAGTAATTTGAACTCAGGACCAACAAAGTAGAAGCCAGCCACTCCCATACTAAATCCAGGAAGATGTCATGGCCTTCGATAGATGGAAGGATACCTTTTGGCGGCAACAACTGACACAAAGTTATTTTTATAAAAACGGTCAAGCGGCGCCGGCGCATAAATTTCGTTTAGCCAGGCGTATTCGAATTTATTTGATAGCGCCCCGGTTTTCCTACGTCGGTAGGGTATATTATCAGCTGCAGCAGAACCGTGTATTTGGCGGCTCGTGCGGCAGATGTCAGAAAAGAGTTATTAATAAATAACATACTATGTACAATGCCTGTATATAATGCCTGTTGACTCGGTAGCACGGAAAACAGTACATAATTTATTTGACTGAAACTTGGTAGTCCCCCTCCATATCCGCCGGAGGTCGATCGTTTGTTATACAGTACTACAAGCGCAATATTATACTGTATTGTTTACTCTTAACTGCTTTAGCATAATAAATATACATATAGTGGTGTTAGGCAAACTTTTATTCTACCACCTTACCCACAGCCTCATATACGTAAGATGTAAAATATCCTGCCCCTGGCCTGTGACGGGGAATAGCGTTAATGAATGCTGGCAAAAGTTTTTTTTTAAAGAATACGGTTGACAAACGAACACATTATTCACCTGACGGTAAGTGGTTGTGTGTGGTTAAAGCTACATCTATCCTGGTTTGCAAATCAAAATGCAGATGCGTTGTCAGTCATGACGACTCACATGGAATGCCTCTTTTCCAGTAAAAAGGGTCTATTGTGAATAGGATTCGTAGTAATTTTCACAGTTTGTTGGCAAATGGTAATCGTAGTATCTAGATGTCTCGGAATTTTGATGTTGTTTCCCGTCGCCTGTCTGGTTATCTTACATCGGGCATATAAGATGGTATATCCATCTGAGACCATGAAGTCATTGTATCCGTTTACATTGTCACCTATACTTCTTACGACACCCAAAGTACGAAATGAACAAATATCTATGGATTCTCTTATGCCGCCATCCTGAAGGAAATTTTCCAATTCACTTCCAGCACTTTTATTTTCAGGTCATTCGAAATCTCAATACATAACCATGTTTTATGAAGTGAACTACTAACCTTTCGTCCAATGCCATTGTCACCTACTGGCACTAGACTCATATGACGGAGGAGGTTCTGGCGACCGTCTTATAGTGGAAATCTATATAAAAACAATGTTTCGGCCCGACCGGGGAAGAACCATGATCTCACAGAATGCCAGCGTAAAATAGCAGCTTAATGCTGCCGTGTTTTAAATGGTGAGTGTAGAGACCTGGAGACCCCTTTTACTAGAAACGAAGCAGTCCATCTCAGTCCTCGGGGGTGACAATGCATCTGCATTTCATCATTGAGGATAGATGTAGTAGTATATAGACCACAGCATCCACTTACCATTAGGTGGATTGTGTGCTCGTTTCTCACACTTAATCTATAAAAAAATCCAAATTCAAGACTGGTGATATTTGTGACAGAATATGATTGCCGGCTATGCACTCGCTAATTCGCTTGCCTAGCGTGGTGAGTGTGGGCACATCTCCAAAATAGTCATGGATACCAGAAAATGATTAAATGCACTACATGATTGCGCCCTTATAATTATTGGAGAAAAGGTAATATTGTGGTTATACAATCATTAAAAATCAGACAAACTTATCCCCTAATATGACGCTTAATAAAAATAAATTATTAAAGTTTTCTGCGATTGGTTGGAACTTTTTTTGGTTTACGAAATCAGAAGTATATACGCTATTTGATGAAGCTGCGATAATAATATACCCATATTAGTTATTAATATGTTCTTTGAGAAGTTTTACGAAGTTGCATGGAATTAAAAAAAATGCATTGTGTAATTTATTTAAGATAGAGCGACATTTTTTTTTCATATTATATTAATATTTACTTACACATTTTTATTTTCAGCACGCCAAAGTACTCGTATCTTTAGTCACCAGTCACACCAGAAATATAATATAAATAAATAGCAAAACGAGTGTAAACGTGTATTGAACTGAAACTTTGAACGATTTCCTTGATATATTTCTCAGTAACATACCGCAACATCAATAGAAATGGAGTTGTTGTTGAAAGATATTCAACAAGGTAAACATATATTGCTGGTTGAGAAAGAGGGATCGGAAAATAAGAAAACCGTGGAGAAACTGTTACAGCATATGGATCGCCCTTCGGAATATATACAACTGGATGCAAACACTACAATAGAGTCTCTGATAGAACAGCCAACTGACAAAAATGGAACTGCCACAAGCGAGGATTCACCACTTGTGAAAGCAGTGAAATATGGCTATGTATTAGTTGTAGAAGAAGTAGCGGAAGCTCCAACTAACGTGACAAGCAGTTTAAACACTTTAATGGAAAGTGGAGCAATGTTACTGAGTGATGGTAGAAGAATAGTTCCCAAGGAAATTATGAATAGTGCTGGGGGCAAAACGGCTGATTTTATTCCTGTGCATGAAGATTTCAGAATGATAGTTATGGCTAGAGGAAAAGGATTTCCGTCCTTGGAGAAAGTCTCCGCTGCTCCTTTAGGTAATTTTGACGCTGTAGTCATCAAATAATCTAACTAAAACCGAATAATTTTTAGATATATTTGCAGGATTTAATCATCATCATCATTGTCACATAAAATGGTGGTCATATCACCAGTAATTTTAGTTTTCGAGATGTTACTCAGCAATCTGGTGAAAGCCAAGAAATGACAAATGCTTACGGTGATACGAACGCTGTGGTTGCTTTATGGCTGCAGCGCGAAAGGGTAGGCTAGAAACTTTAGAGGAACAAGCTATTATTTCCATTCCATTCCATTACACTCTATCAAAAGTTCACTCCTGAACATAAGCCTTCCCCACAGCAAGTAGGTTAGCAACCGCAGTTTTTATTTTATTCAATTGTTATCACGAAAATGTTGCTGCCTATCTCCTGCTTCAGTTTACCCATTATCGCCTCTTACGACACCCACGAGATAATATGTGGTAGTGGAAATTTTTACACCGCCACCACAAGGTTAGAGGACTAAGATGACTAGCGATATACCGTACGGTAAGTGATGAGAACCGGAGACCCTTGTACTTGTTACAAGGCATACCATCTTAATCCTCAAAGGTTACAACATATTTACGTTTTGATTTGAAATTCGAAATATACGCAGGTGTGGGTATGGGCTTTAGTATTTACTTACTTCCAGTAGAGGAACTGTGCCAGGTCGCAACAACCCATGCGACTTACACGAGAAGTTTTCAGCTTATTGAGTAATACATTGGTAAAATTTAGAAACGACCCGTTGTAATCGGTGTCCATGATCAGTACCAGGTCTCGAAAGGTCAGGTCTCGTAAAAGTTTAAGAATGCACTAGCTAGAAACCTTAATTTTACCTTCTATTCTATTCACTGAGTCTCTGAGACATGTTGTTTATGCCCAAATTTGGTAATTTTGAACGCCATCCAATTGCGTTCGAGCTGGCGCGTCACCCGATGGTATGTAGGTGAAATAAACGTTGCCAGGTGCGGCGGCCGTGTGCGGCTGGCAGTGGCTCGACGCGTGGGCGAAGAAGCAGTAGCTCGCTGGCCGCGATGCTGTGAATCCGCGTATCTCGATTATCGCGGCCGAAGTTCACGCGACCGTGTAGGGTCCAGATAGTTAGATTTAGTACGTGTTCTTCGCTACGTGGATATGTGAATTTTGCAATATTTAACTTGTTCGCGTGATGCGGAACTGTGCACGCGCGCGCCGTGTATATATACAGTCTAGGATTCGAACCGCGCATTCCTTGAGCGAGAGCGTCTCTCGGTTGATTGTCTGGAAATCGTTATAATTGTGCCGACGCGTTAAGTGCCCTTTTTTGTGTGTTGGCTGGTTTGTTAGTTTACGTGTCAACGAGGCGTATTTTGAATTCTTTTCGCGGCGTGGTGCTTTGGTGTCGAATGAAGGAACTTAGTTGTGTTTAACGCTGAACCGTATGACTCATTAAGAGATCGCGTTAGTTCCCTATTTATAATTTTGTGATAAGTGAATCCGGGACATTGAATGTCGAATTTTGAACTACTGTCCTTACTGTGTCGCGTATCACGTGTTCGATTCTACAATGAATGTGGAATTAGGCGAGTTTAAGTTAGTTAAATGTACAATGAAGCTAATAGACTGAAATAGTGACAATGAAGAAAGAAATAGTCCAGCGGTGGAGCCTGCTGGAGCGATGTAGCATTGTGGGGCAGCCTGAAACTCGGCCGCTGCTGGTCGCCTAAGCTGGTCCAGATCTCAGACATTTACACATCACTAAACACTACTTACCATGCACCTCACACCCACTTACGGCCTGACCGAGCCTTGGGGCGATCTAAGAGTCGGAAACAGGTACGTACTATATTTCCCTAGCCTTCTCCCATATAGCTTAGTATATGGCCATTGGGCCCGAACTGCGTCTGCCCGTCGAGGAAGCTGCTATGGGCCCCAGCCAAGACGATCTTTGCAGGGGCAGCTGTAGGCCGTAACACATGTCATACTCCTTTCTTGTGAAATAATAAATATTTTCCTTAAAGAAACCTTCATTACAGCATTAAAAAATGGGGAGATAGGCATTACCGTCAAAGCAGTCGGCTCTAGTCCAGCGATCACTACTGTCGTCATGGGCGGTCCAGGCTCGGGGCCCCATACTGCTACAGCAATAGCCTCGGGTACAGCAGTCGCCACTGCAACAGCATTGACTCATGGTACGGGAACGTCAACTGCTACGGCACTTGCTTCCGGCTCATCAGTTGGTACCGCCACAGCACACTCATACGACGCAGGAGACGCCACCGCAACAGTAAACACTTATGACTCAGCAACTGCTGAAGCCATTGCGCATGCATACGACACAGCGGTCGCCACAGCCACAGCGAACGCTTCTAGCTCGGCAGTCATCAAAGCTGAGGCGATCGCCAAAGGCAAGGAAGTCATCACCGAAACACAAAACGGGCCCTGAACTTAGATTTTCAAGAAACTTCAAATATCTTATATAATATAACGAAATAAAATATATTAAAGGCAATGGTTTGAAGTGAAATTTACTCTCGGCCAGTATATTAACAAGTTGGGCGATAAAACTGTGCAGTAAAAATAAAATAAAATAAAATAGAAGTAATAAATAATCAGTAATAAAATGAGTAAATACAATACAATGCGTACAAGATAGTGATAAATTTCAATCAAAATCAAAACAGCACAATAAATAATAGTACTGCTAACAGTGAAATGTTAGAATGAACTGTTTATATGTGGACAGTTGTCAAATCAGAATTAGTCGGTATAAAAACTTGGAATATAAAGATTTTTTTTTTCAAATAGTGGTTAGATTACAAGTTTACAAGATTACTTCTTGAAAATAATTTATGCTTTTACCTTTTACCTGGCTCGGAAAAAAATACTCTGTACTGCGAAGAACCAGCAAGAAACTCAGCGGACCTTTTTATAAACATTCGTTTACAATATTATATCAATTGTACAATTAAATCTGAAAACCCAGGGGTTATAGTCAATCATGTACTCTTTAGCAATATAAAAACCCGTACAGTACAAATTTTCTTAATAAAATTTTTAAACTTATTGATAGATAAATCCTGCTTTATCCTGAAACTTAGTTGTAACAAAGCGTGTACATTGTCCCATGAAGGAATTATTGACTTTTGGAGTCGAGTAACTGGTAGAGTATATTAATAAGAGACTCCTTTGAACGTGGTTTATTAATTGCTCTTATGGCTCTCTTCTGCAAAACAAGGATAGTTTTAATGTCCAGTCGCATTACCAAATATCAAGATTTCATATTATAACATTTTGCTATTTATATTATATATAAAACTAATCTAGTTGTTTCAAAACATTTAAGGTTTCTAATTTTTACATGTAGAACTTAGTTTGCAAGCTAATTTAGATAATATGTAAATTAGCATGCAAACTAAGTTTATATGGGGGCCCCATTCATTTTTGTCTCTGTTAAGTAAAAACTCAAGTTCCGAATAATTTACATGTGCGCGTTGAGAATTGCCGAACTATTTACAAGGCTGCCCATTCAGCTATTTTACTGACCATTTTTTTGTACTGGTGCTGTGAATTACTTAATCGTCCAATTTGTTTTTAATTACTGTTCATGTTTGACTGCTGCACTAATTAAACTGAATAGAGTGATGCTCATATCGTGATTTAAAAACGATATCGTCTTGCTTGTCACCAAAGAGTATATTATAATCACTACGTCTTGTCACGTTTGTCGTTTATCTATTTATTAATTTATTTAACCATTTTTGTACTAAAGATACAAACGGCGGACTTAATGCCATATGACATTTTCTACCAGATAACCAGAAATTTTGTAGAAGTGTATAGTGCAGTACAGTGGGCTGGGGTGAAAAACGGTATATTGGCTTTGCATGGGTGATATGTGGATTCTACAACAGCGCCATCTACTGGGTCCAACTATAACTATAACCTTTGCGTAAGTGTAAGCGACAACAAAGTTTTAGCGCAATCAGATAAACAAAATCAAATATAAATGTTTAGGTATATATCATATATATTTATTATTATTATGTCAGATGAGCTTGAGTAATGTTCTTTTACTTTTTTTTAATTAATTAATTTTATATGTGTCTAAATGACTAATGTCGAATACCTAATTTTCTATTAAATGGAACCCGTCATAAAATATTTATTTTATATTTTGCTTTTATTTTAAAGAGTGGTAAATTTGTACCATCAAGACAATGATCTTGCAAGGCTGTAAATTCTCGTGGTGAGAATAAATTGCATAATTATGTTAATTAAGTCCTAGCTGCACCTTAACCTTCCTTTACTTATATTATTCGACTTTTACTTTATCTACCGCCAAAAAATAATACCACTGCTCGTGTATTTTTCTAACTGACCGTAATAGACCATACTAATGTTTAAGTTACAGTTGTAAAATTAATTCCCAAGTTCTAAATAATAGAAGAAGAAATAAAGTCCCAAGTTTTATTAACTATATGCGTAACATTTCTAAGCATTTCTAGTCCGAGATGGTGACGATTTTCGAGAATGTATTTTAGATTTACATTAAATCCCTATTTTATGCGTAATATAATATACTTTGTCCATCAATAGATCGTTTAGCGAAAAATATATTATACATTAGCTTTTTCTCGCGACTTCGTCCGCGTAGATATTATAATTTAAACCACAGGTGATCCACCAATAATCGCACTTTCATAATGAATTGATTGAAATGATTTCCGTGATCAAAGCTATCCTATTTCCTTCCCCGGCACTAAAACTATCTCGATACCAAATTTCATCTAAATCGGTTCAGCGGTTTAACCGTGAAAAGGTATATTTGGTACGCGGCGATGAGCGACGTTTCCCCCCACCTCACCCGCAGTACGCCCGACTGCCCTGCGCACGCCGGACCGCACAATTACATATCGTCGTTACTATTCAAATATATGACTAAATTACGTAGTTTAAAAGACAGAAGTTATCTACTCTGAACATCAAAAGCGATTAAGTTATTTATTTTGATAAAATCCATTTGTTACTGCAAAATGTGCATTCGAAATAAAGTATCAAATTATATTTTATTTATGGTTCATTATTTTGGTAATAATGGCTTACACATAAAATATAGATATATACTGTCGCGAATTTTTTGTAGAACTATTTAGGAAAAGCAATTCCACCATACATTATATTTGCGTAACTCTTATAGTTTATGCACTGCACGCCAAAGTAGCTAGCAGATTTTTTTCGACTTAACACTTATCGTTATATTTTGACAAATTTACACAAAATTTATATTAAAGCCTGTGGTTTGTTCTGTTATATATCTGTTATATTATTGTAAAGTTTCATTAAAATACATTCAGTAGTTTTTGCGAAGAAGAGTTACAAACATCCATACATCCTCACAAATTTTTACGTTTATAATATTAGTAGAATTTTAAGAATAACGAAAACCTACCAGATGCAGAAAGATGCTTAAAAATTAGTCTTTAAAATATCATATTCTTGGCATATTTTTTGCATTAAAGTTGGGGGAGCAGACTAGCTTTATTTGAAAACCGTCCAAAATATTTTGGAAATTTACTGATGTATTTTAGAGGTAACATGTTGGATTAGATACTTATTTTAGTGATTATTTAGTCTAGGATAAACTTGATGATCCAAAATTCTATAAACTTTTGTCTTTGCTTGGCCGGTACACGCTCGCCATAGGCTCATCTTAACTTTGCTCTCGTTCAGCTTTTATACTTATTTGTCACAGCTTTTTGCTTAATTTATGTACTTATTAATAAATAGTTATTTACACACAAAAACGCATTATTTTTTTAACATTATATGATAGTTCTCGACGGACAAGAACTATGAGATCGTAATTCCATTCTTTAATCTACAACTAATCTATATCATCTATTTACTATAGTGCTACCCTTCAAGGCCGACACGTGGTCGGAAACAGAGTGATAGACCTGGTCTATCTGTAGTCTGGACTCGCCGCTGGAGCCGAGAAGGCTGGTGCATGTTTTTACCAGTGCTATTACCTCCGCGTAAACGACTCAGGGAGGTGAGGCGGGTACACGTGGACGTCAAGACCGTGGAGAAAGACGCCACCTGTATTGCGGCATGATTTTCCTGAGGAATAAAAGGCTGAGAAGTTGCCCTGTCAGATGACGGGCCGTGGATATATGCGGGGGATCGAACCTGCAAACATCTACGGTAGCCCAGCCGGCAAATTTGGAACTTCCGAAAGGCGAGCATGCGTAGGATTTCCCCATAGAAAAGATCAGAACAAGTCTTTCATAGCTGATAACTTCTGCCATTATTTGGAAGTTGATGAGACTTTAGTGATAAATAAAACAATATTATCATTACAACGAATGTCACTTTAAAATAAATAAGTATAATTAATAGAATCAGGCGTTACTTTGCGGAAATCCATTACATAAAAGCTTTTACAAAAAGTGTGGCTAACCACCGTAGAGTCTATATCACCTGAGGATGCCTCGTGTAGAGGCGAAACACGTGTCGTATTATCGTCAGTGGTGTGTCTTGCCTAGTGTAGTGGTGTTGGGAGTAGCGGTGCTGGGATTAGTGGTGACGGGGATAGTGCACGCAATTGAGGGAGGGCGGGAGGTCTTCTTCGTACTAGGTAAGACACATCATTTTATTTTATAACGCGGATATTTGCGAAGTAAATTTTTGTAAAAGCTTTTATATAAATAAGTATTATCTGCTTTGGCATATTAGCGTATTAGTAGGTGGCGACTTCCTATTATTAAGTTTTCAACAATAGTCACTTACCATCAGGTTAGCTGCACATTCGTTTGCTACTCTTATTTAAAAAAAATGTTGCAAATTAAATATTGTTGGTAGGAAATGCAGTGTGATGGCGTAAAAGAATCAGCTACACCATTTTGTCCAGTAATTGTGGCATCAGGCGACATTGGTAATGCCAATATATAAAATATCTCATGGTCCATTGTAATGGATGGTGGCACTCATCTTTATCTCACTCGTTATCATCTATGGCTTTTCACCACTCACCCTATCCTCTGCGACTCTGGCGAGGTCCTGGCTCTAGCGATTACATTTTATTATCACAATAAAAATAATGTAACTATAAACAATATATTACATTTACTTGACTTGGATTTAGTTTTTATGAAATTTCTAATGTCTCTTTATAACTTTTAGCTTCAACTCGAAGCCGTAATCTGTGAAGGGAGTTACTTTGCAATTTAGCAAGCATGATAGAAATGGAAATATAAATGCTAAAGAATAATTCGGCCACACACATGTTTGCATATGATATAGACGGTCTGTCTTGGGAGCTAGACAACATATAACATATACGACCATATCACATAGTTGAAGCCAATGATCCATAAATATCTATGCTATACAATGAGGTCTGTAGTCTATAATAGACTTCATCATCATCTTTATAGCCCCTCACAAGTGCACTGCTGAACATAGGCCTCCCCCAAGGAAACGAAGCACGGTCCGAGCGACCTGCATCTATCGACTTCCTGCATGTCTTATCGTCACTCCATCTAGTGCGTGGTCGCCCTATACTTCGCCTACCGGTACGAGGCTGTCACTCGATTAAGAATATCAATATGGCGATTAAGAATATCCACCACCCCATATCTTTCCATGGGTGTCGTAAGAGGCGACTATGGAAAACAGGAGATGGGCAGCAGCATCTACCTGATAACAGCAATAGTACCTACAATAAAAAAACTGCGGTTGCCAACCCGCTCGCCAAGCATGGCAGCTATGGCAAACATCCCCCCCATAATAATAGACTTATGATGGAATTGTATTTCAATTCAGGACCATGCTTTGCTGCTGGTTGTGTTTTTGCCGAATTATCGATAATGATAATGATGGACAATGTGTAACAAGAATGTGATATTATTTCACGCGCTTATTCATTCATTAAGTATAGCCAGGGCTGGATTAACCTTTGGGCAGAGTAGGCAACTGTCTAGGGGCCCCGCATCGGGTACAAATATAATGGAAAATGTTTCATAGGTACTGAGAAAATTTTATTGGAAAATTTGTAACCTCAGTGACGATAGGTATTATTACGTTTTAGCGACGCATACTGTCAGTTGATGAAATACTTCATGCCCCGAGAATTTCATTGCCTAAGGGCCCCGACATGGTTAATCCGGCCCTGAGTATAGCCTATCAAAAGTCCACTGCAAGTCCTCGCCTGTAGATTAACCTCATTGAGTGGATATTACTATAGTTACCACGGTTAACAGCCGGGTTGGAACCACGGTTCTTTTATTATATGAGGAAGTTGCTGTCATTCCCATTTATCGTTTCTTATGACAGGATAAAGATACTTTTACGCCGCTGTTACACGGCGATTCATCAATTTCATACGCTACTAACATATTACTATCATAGCGACATTCACAAATTTTGTAGTTTTACAATCATAAATGCTTACCTTGTAGTAGTAGCATTGCTAAAATATCCACTACTCCACATCCTACCGTAGGGTGTCGTAAGAAGCTACAGAGAGAAACAAACGAAGAGATGTGCAGCAACGTCTTCTTCGTCTTTTTTTTGTAAATATTGTAATAAAAAATAACATTAAATATCAGTTTCGAAAGGTATATTTCTTGCAGGTGATATCAAGATATTCATTAATGTGCCTACAGTGCTGGATGCGTGATACATTAAATATCAACTCTGAAAGAACAATGGCAGACTTTCATGCACAAAATTAGTTGAGAAGAAATGGTAGCGTCTATATACCAAAAATATCTTAAAATGTTAAACCTCAGTCCCTTAATAACTCTGTCAAAGAATTTTGTACTGAGAAGGCGTAAAAAAAATATTTACATTTGTACTTTTTAGGTTATGTCCTATGTCACTTGGAAAAAGTCATGCTTCCTGTGGTTGTTTGATATTAGCTTAATACATAATACATAATTGAGAGTTTTTAGATTATTGTATCTCTATTATATATTTCCATACTATAAATGTATATTTCTGGCATGGCTCCAGGTCTTTTGTATCATAGTGACATTCTCAGAAGGGCTAGAGCCCAGAGCCGTAAAACCAGTAAAAAAAACAGTGACATTTTATTTTAGCCAGTGTTGACATAACATTAAATGGAATTGTTACATAGTACTATGATTGAGATA